TATTTTTTATATATATATTTTTTTTAATAAATAAATCAATTTAAAAGTAACATTAAATTATTTCATTTTTAAAAATTAAACATAACATTTTTATTATTGTTTTTTTTTTGTATTTATTCACCTTTAATAATATGCGAAAATTTTTATTTATGAATTGAATTCGTGTTTACTGTTTACACTAGTGTTTTGAAATTTAAATGAAAGTTGCGAAAATTTCTTTATTTTAATGAATGTTTACTAAATCTTTAATTATATCGTCGACAAATAAAATTCGACTAATTTTTAAGTGGACATAGATATAAATAGTTATTATTATAGAAGCTTATAACGTGGGAAGTAAGGGTAAATCGGCTGAAAATATCCGAGAGGCAACTTCCCCAAGGATTTTTCTTGTTCTTGCTGCTTTTATTTCATTCAACTATTTCCTAAACTGCGGTACCTATGAGATTCTTCAAATGCTAGTAATATGTATAATTCAAGGACATGATCTATGACATTTTTAAAATTTGAAGTAAAGATAAAAATGTAAATATTTCGTAGATAATTAATTTTAATGTAAAATTTATTAATGATGATTAAAAGTTAGCCGATCGGACACGTATCATAGATGCCATTTAATTTATCATATTTCTCTCTATTAACGAATTATTTGAAAGTTTAGCTTTTAAATAAACTATTTTTCGTCCGAATAATTTATAAATATGATATTATAGCTTTTAAATTAAAGTCATTTGATTAACGTCAAATAAAATACTGACAGATGCCGAAGATAAACGTGTAATTTTCATTTCTCTAAAAATTTACTTAATTCAAATATGTAATATATAGATTAAAGGCGGATGAATATAAACATAAGTAGATATTTATAGATTAAAGTTAGTTGGGTACAAAATGGTCGAAATTAAAGCAAATGGAATATTTAAATTTCATCAAGTTTCACTATATTTTTTATCTTTTATTTTCAAATATTAAAGTTGTTTTTAAATTAAGCGAATTAAATTGCTTAAAACTAAAATATAAAAATTCAAAACTACATTTTTAAATTTAAAATCAATCAAAAATGTACAGCTTGATTTTATCAACTGAAAAGCGAAATTCAACTTAATTAAATTGAAATGAATTTCTGTCTCATTCAAAAGCATCTATACAATTTCTATCATTTAGATTTACTAATCAGTAAAAACTATATTTAACTAAATTGAATTTATTATTATTATTTATTTCTTACAAATATTACAAATATAATAAAGATAGCACTTCTTTAACAAATATGTTATCAATATATTCTCATATAATTTCCAATAAATATATGCTATAATGCAGAATTAACCTTAAATAAAATAAGAAATTGTTGATATAGGCCTACTGTATATATTCTAGACGAATTATTTAATTAGCCTACTTATTTTATTATTTAAACTTTAACCCTATAGCACGCTATAAATAATTAAATATCTCTATTAAAAATAGAAAAATTACGTTTTAAATAGAATGGTAATAACAAAATACAATAATTCTAATAACTTTGGAAACTTATTACTACTTTTCGACGAAATCATTAATTTATATAAAAGTTTTTCAAATTATTTTTTTGTAAAGAATAAGATAAGTATAGTTTATGACTTCAATGAGTGAAGTTTCTGAAGAATCAATCTTTTAACTTTACCAAATAGTAGAATTTCGAGATGCGTTAGTCGAATTTATTATTCCTTTGCTGGAGCTTTATATACATTCATATCACGAAAGAATAAAGAAAAAGATATTTATATCAAAAGTTTTAGTAAAATTACAAATACGATACTTTATTTTCCGTGTATTGTAACAATTCTAAATAGTCATATGACTGAAGGGGAAAAATAGGAGAAAATACTTCGTTTTATAAAGTATTTTCTCGAAAACTAATGTAAAGATAAATTTATTTCAAGAATATTACTTGCTCCAGTTAGAATAAACAATAATTTCAAAATATTACCCACTGATTAACCATAAATAATATATATTACACTTGTATCATCGTTATATCTTCATTCTCATAGGATATGCTAGAGGCCATTTTCTTATAATTTCTTCTTAGTTTATTACTTATTTATTAAGAAACTTTTAAATGATCACCGGAAAATTAAGTTAATTCATCTTATCTGAAGAAGTGATTACTTTTAATAATTTCAATTAAATATTTACAAGAAACATTTATTAAAATTACTAAAATTTTACCCAAAATATTTACTTTTCAAAAATATTCTAATAGTTATAAGATCTTTTGTACATGTAAAATTTATACGTTACATTTTAAAAGTCGTTATATTTAATTACTTATATGTTGACATATTCTGACATAGAAAGTTTCAAAATATTGACATATTCTAATAATTAACTGAAGAAAGACTGAATTGTNTATAATATTTTAGAAAAATTATATATTTGAATTGTGAAGTTGAAAAATAACTTTTTTGTATATATGAATAACTTCTTTGATAGCCACTATTAAGGTATTAAATTATGGTAGAGAAAGGGATAAAAGTATTTTCGTTTAGAGAATAAAGAATTGATATTATTTTCTACAACAAGAAATAATAAAAGGTGAATGGAAGTAGGCCTTAAACTAAAAATATCTGAATATGTATTTCAGAATGACCAAATATACTTTCTGAGAAAATTTTTTCCGAACTTCCATATTTATATAACTTATAATTATGAATAAAATTTGATAGTTTAGAATGTACAACTATTAATTTAGTGTAACTTTACAGTGTAATACAGGTTTAAATTGAAAACTTTTCTTAGTTAATTTTCTAGTTTCCTTATAGAGTTAAGTTATAGTCTATTCGTATGAATCAGTGTTATATGTAGTATTGATTTAAACTAATAGACTATAAATTTTAACAGTACAGGAAAACTAACTTACATCTAGCAGCTGTTTATATTTTATTGCGGAGTGAAATGGATATTCTCGTTTCAACAAAGCAGCGTTAAAGAAAAAAGTAAACAAAATTACTAACTTAAACGATATAATTAATAAGAAAATAGTTTCTTTATATTCCCAATTTAAATACTGTAGTTAAAACGCTTTCGAAAATATAAACCAAACATTTATTAAATGCGATTTAAAAATATAGGTACAACGGAATCTTTTATGGAATCTAATCTAATTTTTCTGTATCACGAACTCATTAAGAGCTTAAAGATAGTTAGAATAATAATGTTGTAATTTATTTCAAATTCTTGATGGATTAAATTGCATTTAATAAATGTTATTAATATCATAATAACTGTAGTATACAAAATTGATTTTTGATATTAGACTAAAATATAAGGAGAAATTTTTTTCCTAATATTTAAATAAGTTTTGAAGTTTATAATATAAACTTAATTATAAACTTTAGATTTTGTAAAGATATTTAAAATTTTACTATATTATTAAATCTTATAAGATAAAAGAAACCATTATTAAGTCTATTTGAAATCGGAAAAACTATTCATAAAGTTAATTATTGATATAAATCTTTATATAATTAATTCAAGATCGTGCATATATGAAATTACTATGATCATAAAGACAAAGAAAACATCTTTTACATTAAAACAATTTTCAAAATATAATTTATACATTGTCATTTATTCTATATATTGTATATTTAAGTGAGTTCAATTTATTTATTTATTTTTTTATTATTATTAGTAAATCTTTTAATTCTATATCTGTCATAAATTTAATTAGTTTAATCCAATTTTTCATTGTATATATTCTGTAGTTAAGAATTTAAACGTGATTTAACTAATTTATTTTAAGCTTGAATAATAATTATATAATTCTTTGAAGGAATTACAAGCAAGCGCCACTTTCCCAAACATTAATCTGTGTTCATTTATTAAAATGTTATTTTTAAGTATATGTGAAACAGTAATGGAAAATTTAAATTTGAATTCTTCACTGATGGATCTCAATATTTTCTTAAATTTATATTATGGATGAGTGACTGAATTCATGACACAGTTTGACGTATTTCTATTCAAAATTTTACATAAGATTGAATTTAAGAATGCTTAGAATAGATTTAGACAACTTGAAATTTTAAATAAAATTGAAAAATTTAAATAAAAGTATAAATTTTTTTTTAAAAAAACTTTAACATTTTGTTTAATCATAAACTTCAAACTGTTTAATTAAAATTCAAATTTTCTTGTAATCAGTGAAATTATTAGCCATATTTACAGATATAAAAATTAAAAAATTTCGCGTATTAATATCATTAATATAAATGAA